CCTTCATTAACAGTTGTTTTCGCTCAACACTACTCCAGATCAGATGGCCGGCCAGAAAAGATCAGCAACAGGGATCTCTGGCAATGAGCGAACCAACCAGGAACCGATTGTGAAACAAATAGGCAGGAAGAAATGGAGATGGATTGGCCATACTCTGAGGAAACCATCAAGTGACATCACTAGACAAGCCCTCGAGTGGAACCCGAAAGGGAAGCGGCGAGTTGGTCGTCAGTGCAAGGGTGACTTGGAGGAGGTCATGTGAAGAGGAGATGAAAGCGTGTGGGCAGACTTGGAGCCAGGTGAAGACTCTAGCAGAGAACCGAACGCAATGGAGACGCACGGCTGAAGCCCTATGTTCCTCTAGGAATTAAAGGAAATAATAATAATAACTTCAGCGCACCGTTTGCAAATATCTTCCATATTGTGCTATTCTTGGACTTCATATTGTGTTTCTTTGTGTTCCTTTCATTTCTCCTATGTATCTCCGCAACGCTGTATCATTTGCTTTCTCTGATAAAAAATCTATCTCCCTGTTACTTGATCTTTTTATGCCGATTAACATCTCTTCACATACTACTGATGAATCTTATCAGTAGCACATGGTACAATATGGTTTCACAATTTATCTCATACATATTTTCTTTGTTTCTCTCTCTCTCATTTTGATTAGACGCGTGTGGTGTTGAATCGATAAGTGAAGATTCAGTGATCAATCTCTCTCCCACACTCCATCTAACTGTATTACTTTTTAATAGTTTCACACTGTGCCACCCACTTTATTTTGTGGTTACACGCAAGGCAATACAATGCAATGAGTGAACTTTTTCTAGATTATTTAACTAAGCAAGATCAATCATTCCAGGTTTAGCTAAACGTTTATGTTTCAATAATCTAGTTGACCCCGATCTACTACTATTGTGGTGAAAGATGGTCGCTAGCCAAATTGGTTGACAGTAATTGAGGTCAAAGGTCAAGGTTGTCAGGCGGATACAGTTAACATGTAGTTGAACTGACACAGCCACAAGATATGCAAGGTTAACCTTGCGAGAGAAACAACCAATCAACAGGCTGTATTTTCTACTAACATTGACCTACAATAATGTACATAAAAATCTATAAATACGTGTTGATTTTCCTAAATAAACGATCTGTTGCCTGGCCCTTGTCTTCTGTTGTTACATTTGGTGTCGCTGCCTACCGACAAATGGAAAGCCTATGCCCTGCAGTTTTTGATGGAGACATATGGATCTTCGGGCAGGACTTCGAGGCTTCTTCGCAGTTGAGTGGCGTTCAAGATCTGTCAGCGATGAGGCTGCTACTTGGGACGCTGCTGGGAGGTCGGGAGAATGCAGCATATGGAAGTGTGAGGCGAAATACCTACGAATGTGTGACAGGGTCAGGCAAACAGTTTCCAAAGTGGGAAGGACCATATATGGTCACGTTGAGATGGGGTTACGCAGACACAATCGCAATGGTAAACACAGAGAAACAAGTGAACATCCGCAAGCACCAAGATTTCAGACAGCAAGACAAAAGAGAAAAGCCCCAAGAACCGAGAAGACCGAAGCAACTTCAGTCGCAAGTCTTTGACGGGGGGACGAGTGTGGTGAAAGATGGTCGCTAGCCAAATTGGTTGACAGTAATTGAGGTCAAAGGTCAAGGTTGTCAGGCGGATACAGTTAACATGTAGTTGAACTGACACAGCCACAAGATATGCAAGGTTAACCTTGCGAGAGAAACAACCAATCAACAGGCTGTATTTTCTACTAACATTGACCTACAATAATGTACATAAAAATCTATAAATACGTGTTGATTTTCCTAAATAAACGATCTGTTGCCTGGCCCTTGTCTTCTGTTGTTACACTATGACCTTTCTAACTGACCTCACAGTTATTACATAGTATATGGTAAATTATATGATTTTCTCTTGTTGGATCTATTGAGTCGTTAAGCCGACAGAGCGATCGGCTCTTGCTCAGTTGGTTTGTTCACATAGTTTTCTTGCTTATTCTTTCTGGCTGGCCATTTGGTTTTCAGCATGGAGTCAGCGAAGGTGTCAGCTGTTCATAAAAGTCTGAAGTGTCTGTTGGAAATCCTTTTCGTGACACGCAGTGCAAGTTTCTGACCTGTATAGAAGAACCAACTTGAAATTGGCGTTGAAAATGCGAATCTTGTTTTTTATGCTGAGTGACAGTGGAAGATTTCCAAACTGGTTTCAATTTGATGAAGGCGTATCTTGCCTTTCCGATCCTGTCTGACTTTGACATCTTCGTCCGTTCCGCCTGTTCTTGAAACGATGCTTCCCAGATAAGTGAAGGAGGCAACCTCTGTCAAATCATCTCTCCCGTTGATGGTGATTGGTTCTGGTTGTTGTTGCTGTTGGTTGGTTATCTTCATCACCTCCGTCTTCTCTATGTTCACTCGTGACAAACCTTAAGTCAAATTTGTGATTTCCACATCGCTGATGAGCCAGACCCCGAAAAGACAGAAGCAGACGTCCATTATTTAGATTACTTCCATCTGGGCTGAATGGCAAGTACTACTGCTTTCTTAATTACCGTTTATAGTGTCATCAAATGCATCACATACTGTGATTTCACCTCTTTGAACTATGCTGTAAATTGAAAATTGTAAATTTGAACTTAACGCGCACTGTCAATGTGTCAAACAGTGTCAAGGAAACAACTATAACTAAAACTATCATTCAAACTGTAATACTTACGTAACAGAACAGACAAAAACGATAAAAAACACATTACAGTCACACCTTTCAAGAACATTTAGAAAATGGATTATTTTTCAGTGCAATATGAATACGATAGAATGTGTAAATTGTAAAAAAACGAAATCATTGATCAACAACCATCGACGGATCGGTAAAAAATAAAAGTTCATATATATATTCACACACTAATAGTAACATGATATTACTTACTAATCAATAAAATAAAGGAAAATGAATAGATGAATAAAATACAATCAATAATTTTGTCTAACTGAAAAAAGTTATCTTGTTTTAATTTACGAAAAAAAGTGAAGGCGCGTTATTCAAATCGAAGGGTAATTCATGCTTTTTCTTTCAAATAAACAAACGGAATGAATTTGGGATAACTTATCAAAAAGAAAATCTTAAGATAAGCAATACATACATTTAAACTGGTTCATCTGTGTAATATGTTTTTTAATCTTTAACAAGAACCATAAGAGGAGTGAAAATTCTTGTTTTATTTCTTTCTTTCAATGTTCTTTTCATCACTGACACAGATGTAATCATCATTTAGCTAATTCACGCTGATTCAAACGAGTGTTTTCATCATAATGCGAAATATCACATCGCTATTGCATAAATATTACATACAATTACAGACAACAACAGCTGCAATTCTTCCTGTCTGTTTCCCTCTCTCTCTCCTTGTTCGTTTAAATTTCAGTAGAGACATGGCGATTTAGTTAGTCGAAAACAATAAACAGTCACTTGCGATTTCATTCATTTAGGACTGATCTACATCTGTTGTGTGTGTATGTGTATTTGATGGTTAGTGATACTGTTACTACCTGGTCGTCCAATAAACTGCTGCAGGTGGAGCGGAGTAGTGTTCGAACCCATGTCCCCTCTCTGGTTGGGCTGATGGAAGCCTACAGGAAGTCAATCAGACGTTGTGTCTTCTTCTAATGAAAGCATTGGAACGAATTTCGGAAGGCTAACCAGGTAGCCAAAGAAATGAGAAAATATGACATAGAAGTGATAGGAATTTGTCGAAGCATGTGGAATCCATGTAGACCCTTCAAATTGCTAACTGAAGAGTCAATAATTTACCCCAGTCACTCAGACAACAACCACGAGGACATTGAGAAATTGGTTATCATAACACTACCAACAGTAGCCAAAGCTTCTATGCAGAAGGAAATCAGTCTCTAGACTTTTATCAACAGCTGCCCGCATCGCTGGTTCCACGCTGAAGATCAAATGGCCAGCCCAGAAAGAATTAGAAACAAGAAACTCTGAGAACGAACCTATTGCTCAACAAATATATCCGAAAGGAAATACAGATGGATTAGAAATCCTCTGAGGAGACCCTTAGGTGACATCACGCATCAAGTCATCGCTTGAGTGTAACCCGAATGGGGAACGACGATTTCCCAGTGGGTCCGAGGGTGACATAGAGGAGATCATATGACGAGGAGCAATCGTGAGGCCAGCTAAAGAGAATGGGAGAGAACACAACAAAATGGAGATGTTAGATGGTTAGAGACAATCGGCTACAGGAAGCCTTAGACACACCTAGGTTTCGTGCTAGTTGACACTCAACAGTCAGCAAGGCGTATCCGAAGTCACCTTGAAAGAACTCATGTCCCTTCTGAGATTCAAACCCGCGTCACCCAGTGCAGCAGTCAGAACGGTTCCCACCAATGAGCTTTTCGAGTTGGTGATTGACCTGCTTTAGCACTGTATTGGATACTTTGACTGAACATTAGTAAGTGGTGTGACGTGTCTAGTCCCTTCTTTGGTGCAGACTTAATTCTATCAGTCAGGTTTGTAATGTGGCCACCATTCTAAGTAGCTCGCCATAATGGTGCACAAGGTTACTGTACGTCTTGCTGACTGGTGAGTTCCGACTAGCACGAAACCTAGGTGTGTCCAAAGCTTCCTGTGGCCGATTGCCTCCAACTATCTAATATCATCAAATCAATGTACACTGTGATGGTGAGCTACCCAGAATGGTATCCACATTGTAAGCCTGACTGATAGAATTCAGTCTGCACCAAACAGAGGACTAGACACATCACACTAGTTATTAGTGTCCAATCAAAATGGAGATGTGCGCTGTTGAAGCCCGATTTTCCAGCGGGAACCCAAGCGCAAACGACAGCCAGTGACTAGGTGGATCCAGCTGCTAATGGCTTCCCACTAGAATACTAAAATCCCTTTATATTACACTATGAAATACACTAAACTTTTATGTACGTATATATAAATATCCATAGAAAGGACTTACTTGAACCACCATTTTCATGAATTTGTACACTTAACTGATCATTAAGAGATGTAAATGACTTAAGATTATTATTATTATTGTTATTATCATTATTAGACATAAAACGTTTCGATTGTTTTTGATGTGAATAAGGCGAATAATGATTGTCAATAGTATTACTATTATTATTGTTGTTATTTATATTATGTGAAGGTGATGATGTAGACGTTTTTATCGACGGCATTGTATGCGAATGACGACTAGATGATAATAAAGATAGCGGGTTGAAACGACTGCCCTTAGATGGTGACGATGTGAGACCTGGTGATGGTGATCTAGATGAAGAAGAGGAGGATCTGTTGTTGTTGTTGATGTTGTTTTTAGCTCCTGAATCAATACCATTTGTAGCATTTGTACCAGGAGTAACAGAAGCAGCGACAACGCTAGCCCCACTTGCTCCCTCTCGTCCAATAGTATTACTCTTGTGGGCTAAACTGCCACCATTGGTTAGATTTGTAGAACACGGCATACAATAATATAATCCATCAAGTATTGTTGTTCGTTCACCTGAATTGAATAAACGTCTGAAAAGTAAATTTTAAAAACACATAACAAAAATAATGAATAGTGTGAATCAATTAAAAACAAAAAAATCCGAAATCTCTGTAAACCAATTATTATTCTCTTGGTTACCTAGTCGGAAATACGGCTGACCTCACGATTGCCAATCCTCTCTGACCTCCTCATTGTCATCCTCGGAAGCTCTACTCATCGTTTCCCACCCACTTTACACTCGAGCGGTGGTCTACATTGAGCGCAATACCATCCGATGGTCTCTTTAGTGTGTGCCAAATCCATCTCCGTTTTCTCCTACATATTTGTTAAGCGATCGGCTCTCGCCTGTTTGTTGGTTCCCTTAGTTTCTTGTTGTCAATTCTTTCCACTAGCTATGTGATCTTCAGTAAGGGGCGAAGGTGGCAGTTTTGCGTCGGTGGCACAGCGGTTAGGACTTTCGCTGACCATGCACATGGTTTGGAGTTCGATCCCTAACCGACGCACACCTGATATCAATGGTCAGACTAAAAAATTGGGCTACCGATATCACATGCTGAAAATTCCATACTTGTACCAAAAATACGGTGTGGAATCCAGCTATAATAAAAAAAACCGTCTGTCGTAGCCTACTGAAAATGCTTTTTGTGACGGCTGCACCAAGTTTCTGACCCTTATAGAAGAATTGAAGGATTTAACATTGTTGTTGAAACCTAAATCTTGTTCTATGTGCTGAGTGTATAAGATTTACAAACGGATTGGAGACAGGCAGAGGTGTACCCTGACTTTCTGATTCTGACTTTGACGTCCTCATCCATTCTATCGTCTGTAGGCGAAATGATGCTTCCTAGACAGGTAAAGGAAATGACATCTTGGTTGTGGCTGTTTCTGGTGTTGCGTGAGTATCTTCATCACCTCCGTCTTCTCTATGTTCACTTGAAGTCCTGCCTCCGCTGAAAACCAGTACTTGCCTATGACACTGGTTAGTGGTTGCTAAGATGTCAGAATTCATGGATCGGTCATTGCATCGGATGGACGAGGATGTCAAATCGAGAATCGAGAAGACGAGAAACACATTCATCAACCTGAAACCAATCTGGAAATCTTTGCCACTCAGAATCAACAACAAAATTCGGATTTTCAATACAAACGTCAAGTCAGTTTTGCTTTACGGATCAGAAACTTGACGGCGGGTCACAGAGAATATTTCCAACAGCCTGTTGCAGACCTTTATCAACAACTGTCTTAGCTCTATACTCGAGATCAGATGGCCGGAAAGAATCACAAACAAGAAACTATGGGAACAAACAAAACAAGAACCAATCGCTCAACAAATATGCAGGAGAAAGTGGAGATAGATTGGACACTCTCTGAGGAGGCCGCCTGGTGACATCGCGCGTTAGGCCAACGCTCAAGTGGAACCCGAAAGGGAAGTGGCGAGTGGGACGTACGAAGGCGACATGGAGGAGATCGTGTGAAGAGGAGTTGAAACAGTATGGACTAACATGGATGCAGGTGAAAAGTACAGCAGAAGACAGAAACAAGTGGAGACGTGTGGTTGAAGCCCAATGTTCCACTAGGAACCCAAGGGAACAATAAAAATAATAATCATTGCATCGGTTCCCAGTGACTGAATGGTCTACGGGCTAGCCCTCTACCAGAAGATGTCCTAGATTCAAACGCTGGTGGGTGAGTACTGATGAAGAGTCTCAAACTAGGTCAAAACGGTTGTCTATTACTCCCTGGTGTCAAATGATTGTCTAATCCCAGGAAAATAACATTCGATAGAGGAAAAACTAGTCGAATATTGATTTTCGGTGTTCTTTGAGAATACCATTCAACACATAAATATCGATAATGATTCGACAAAGTAACACTGTGAAACAAAACTTGGCAAAAGTTATCATCAGGGTTCGAACAAGTGGGTGGTTTCTGTGCCAACAGTTGGACAGTATAACTATTCAGCAGTAAAAAAACTCATTTTTTGCAGGTGTTGGTCTGCAGAGATTTGACTCGTTTCAAGTTTTATCGCGTATTGATATCAGTTAAAGAACCATTGAGAAGCAAAGAACATGAGGCGATAACTGTTTCTTCCTAGTTTGTGACTCTTCAGCAGAATGCGCGCATGACACCATCGGGGATCAGACCCAGGAACTTCTGGTTACCAGGCCAGCTCGCTGACCAATGGGTCTATGAGGGGCCACTCAACGTCAACGAATTCATCTCGTAACCTGAAGGTTCTGGGTTCGCTGCTCGATAGGATCTTAGGTGCGTACCGATGAAGAATCTCAAACCAGGACGAAACGCCTGTCTAGCATTCCCTGATGATCTTTTAATGGTTCCCCAACTGAAATCAATCTGTGACCAAACTTGGAGCTCTTTTTTCTTCATGATCAAATTTATGTCAAACAGTATCACTAAATAATTATCACTTTCTTTATCTCTACATTTCCTCAGGATTTCGATTACGATGACAAGACGTGTTCGAACACCATGTGTGATGATAATGAACACTTACTAACACACTATTGATTCATATGATAGGTTACAGGATTTCATCGTTAGCTGACACTGGTTAGAGAACTATTGGAAAACCAGCCACAGGGAGTACTGGACAGCTGTTTCGTCAGCTTAGTTTGGGACCCCTCTTCAGTAGTACGCACTCACCACAAGTGTTCTACCCCGGGACATCTTCTGATTACAAGGCGGCCTAGCTCATAGACCATTCAGCCAGCGGAATCCAATTCACTGGTTGACCCATGAAACCCAAATTCTGCCAGTTGACGATATAGAGCGACTGCCATTAGTCAATGTCACCGGTGACGAGTATTTGTCCTCACATCCGATAATTGGATAAGGTGAGATAGGGACTTGCCTCTCACAGTTTATCAGGCAAGACAAAGACCCATAGAGATTAAAATGATTGTATGATTAGGTACAGTTAGGAAAGAAGGCTTAATAACTTCGACATGCTGTAGTTATGGTAACTAGTAAAGATAAAGTGTAAAAATGGAGATTTGTGTTTTGATCTGTTGGTGGGTAGGTTACCAAGAGGTAATAAACTCCTTTTAGGTTAACTTTATACCATGATATCTCTTGAAAATTCTTCAGAGGTCAATCTCCTCTGATTATATTTTAAAATATAAATAGGAGTACTTTCTTAATATATATGTGTAAAACTTGGGCACTGTGGTAGTAAGTAATTTCATATTAGTTTGTTTATCAGATGTATTACACAATGAAACCGCAGTACTATTTACTGGATGACGTTTCGACAAAATTTAGTGTTCATAATCATGTCAATTACAATCACACGACATTGAAACTTGAGTTTTAGAGTTTTCTTTCTTCTCTCCTATTTGTCGTTGTCGGCGTGGTAGTATAATTTTCCAGATATCTGACTGGACAGGTGTTGAATCATTCCTTTTACACGCATTTGCAGTTGATTCGATAAACGCAACTTCTGTTATCAGTCTCTCCCTCCACTCTGCTGTTACATTAGATTTTAAAACTGTCATCTTATCACATAATCCTATTGTATGGTTGTGTGTAATTGCATGTACTGAGTGGTATAGCTGAACTGTTCTCCAGATTTCTTATCTTATTCGTGTCAACTAATCTAGATTTTCCTAGGTTTTTATGCTCCGCGAGTCTCACTAACTGCCCCTGTTCCACTACTTTGCCCTGTGTATTTTACCTGACAATCATCGTAAGCAAGGTATTAGATAAACTAAATTGTTTTGTTGTAAAGGCTCCACACGATAGATCATTTAACCGACAAAGCTTGTTTCCAATTGATTTTGTGGTTGGTTTGAATGCCAGCCACTTTTATTCCTGCCAGCATTGTTAAAAATTCTGTGTATGGTTTCCGATGTTCCTTCTTTGTATGGAATTACTACTGATGATTTAGATTCCTTAGTGTTGGTGTTGTCGTGCGCATGTTTGACATGCATGTCGTCACTAATATTACTATTATTTTAGTTTTCTTTGACCTCTCCTATAAAACTCAAGTTTCAAAGTCGTGTGATTACAATTGATATGATTATGAACAATAAATTTTGTTCTAAACGTCATCCAGTAAATAATACTGCTGTTTCACTGTGTGATACACCTAATAAACAAACTGACATGGAAGAGTACTTTCCTTCAATGTAATCATCACAATGGCTATCAAAATTTAGATAATAACATGTCAACTTTATATTTTATGCCATTGAATTCGTTGGAGTGGAACGTAGGGATTCTTCAAGCTTAAGCTTTGGAGTGTCGATAGCTGTGGCGGTTTTTTGTTCTGTTTTTAAGGGGTGAGGTTGCTAGATTTGTGCCCAACCTTCAACTCTTCAACCGTCTGAGGGAGGTCTAGAAGTGAGTCAGTACCTGAGAACCGATCAACGGACCACGTGAGGTATGGTAGCTGGCAATACAAGAAATACGCATATCTAGTGCAGAAAATCATTATTCGTTTACAACACTCAAAAACTTTCATAAAATACGGAATTGATTATAGTCAGATGAACAGCGAAGGAAGATATCGATGTTATCGATTACATATTGTCTCTTATATGTTATATTTGTTGTGTATTGATTGAATGAGTAGTTGTCATTATTGTGTTGATATAAAATGAAATATATGATGGGATATATATACAAGAACGATTATTCTAATTATTGCGTAACACGTGTATTCATTTTCCGCAAGACAATGACTAATGAACTGATTCATCGGCAACCGGTGTAAGGTAATTCACGAAAAAAACATCTTAACGTTAAGCTCATTTGATAACCTCTTAGTAAATATAAGATAATTGGAGGCAAACAGGAGGAAGACCTGCTTAACCTAGACATCGTAACTGTCGGCACTCACAAGTCACCAAGGAGTGTCTGCAATCTCACAAGTACTGATTTCCTCTCCAAGATTCGAACCCGTGTCATCCAGTGAGTGCTGCAGTCACAGACGATACCAATGAACTATTCGGACTCGTGATTGATGCTTTGTAGGACTGTATTGCTGTCAAGTGCCACAACAGGCACGAAACCCAGACATCAAGGGGATCCTAACTACTGCCTCCAGTCATCTAACATCAATTCAGTGTCACCGGGATGGCGAGTCACCTATCATAATGGCTAGATTGAAAACCTGACTGACAGAATTCAGTATGCACACATGATATTGGTTACTAGCCTTAACACATGAATGAACTTTGGAATTAGCGACACCTACTGCAAGAAATCTAATGATACTATCTAGGTATATATGTATGTATGTGGCTGCTTAAACCAAGTTAGATTGGGCAGTGTTTGAGTGCGTGACTGACATGTTCTCATCATCGGAGCTGTGTATCACAAAAAGTCGAGTTTCTAATTAAAACAGGTGGACACAAATTTACGAGTTGATCACGGATTGGTATCAGTTAGTGAACCATTGGAAACCACACATGGAGTACTGTCAGACAGCTGTTTCATCCTAGTTTGGGAATCACCGGCAGTACGCACCCACTGATATCAATCCGTGATCAACTCGTGAAAACAAAACTAATCCTTACAAACCAACTATAGGAAACAAATTTAACTGTTCGTATAATGAGCATCTATAATATTATTGTTATCTGTTAAAACATGATTTAAAGATTTGTGCTGGATGGAGTCAAGCATGTCAGGATGAAATGGATCCTCATGGATGGCATTAGGCTGGCGGCATTGTTGTATCACGAATTCACAGAAGTTAGAAATCGTAGATCATTCAGTTACAACCGAGAATGGTCAACAGCTGATCTCATCACCTGATGGTTTTGTATTCAATCCCTGAAAAAGGTGATAGGTGCACGCGCTAGTGAAGAGTCTCAAACTAGGACGAAACCACTATCTAGTTCTCCATGGTTTTCAATGCCTCTCTCTTACTGATTTCAGTTTGTGACGTAGTCTACATCACAGTACCTTGCAGTTAACTAGAATCGTTTTCATTACAAAGAATATATTAGATGGTTGAAGGCAATAATCGGCAGGAAGCCTCGATTAACCTCGGTTTCGTGCCTACGGGCCTTCATCATTTGGCAGAGTGTAATTGCAACCTTAAGCAAAACCATGTCTCCTCTAAGATTCGAACCTGTTTTGCTCAGTGTGCTTCAGTCAGAGGTGTTACGGGCTCGCGATTGACCTTCTGTTGGACTGTATAGGATACTTCTACTGGATACAAGGTAATGCGTAGTATCGTGTGTCTAGACAACATCACAGAATAACAGACATGGCTTTCTCTTAAAAATCAACCGATTTAAGAAATAGTTTCTTAACTAAGTGGCATAAACTACATGACCAATGTCAAGCAGCGTCAGTGGCACAGAGGTGGAATGGTCGCCGACGACGCACGTGGTGTGGGGTTCGAACTGCGGCCACTGACGCACTCCTTTACCTCGCTAAGCCAATAATAAAAGCTGGTAAAGAGGAAAGGTTAGGGCGGGCATGAAGCTAGCAACCCCATCCCGTAAAAGTAAACACCACTCCTACAGAAACTTCAAGCCTCTAGCTTGAAGCCCTATGTTCCACTGGGAACGTAGAGGAATAAAAAATCCGATGAAATGAAACATTGTATTTCCCAGGAACTTCAAAATCCACCGCATATATATATAACCATTCACAATCAGTGAGTCAAAGTTAAACAGCGCAGATGTTTTCCAAATTCACGGTATCGTGTTACTGAAAACTAAAGTCTTTAACTCGATTCATTATGCATCCGTGTGAGAAACTTGTTGAAGAGTTACCAGCTCAAATAATATTCGTAGCTGACTTCGAGCTGTCCTAAAGTTATTTTGTACTTCCAGTTGATTGAACTTTATTGAACCGAAAATGGTCGATCTCTGTTGGTATATTAGCAACCTAGTACGCAATTTTTGATGACCTCTGAAGATTTATTTTTTTTTGATCATAGCTTGATTCCACACTGTATTTTTGGTATAAGCATGGAACTTTCAGCATATGATTTCGGTAGCCCAAATTTTGCAGGCCGACCATAGATATCAGATATGCGTCGGCAGGAGATCGAACCCCGGACCATGTGCATGTCGGCGAGAATCCTCTTTGGCAAAGAGGCAGCTCTTATGGCCCAGAAGATAACTGCTCTTCAGCGTTTGAAACCCCAGGTGTTAGATGGTTAGAGACAATCAGAAGGAAGCCTTGAACGTCTAGATTTCGTGCTTATTTGCACTCACCAGTCAGTAAGGTGTGTCTGCAATCTTGATGGAACTCAGATCCCTTCTGAGATTCGAACCGGACTTACTGAATGCTGCCTCCAGAAACGTGAAAGCTGAGCTATTCGGATTCAGTGGAAACAATAGGTGCTAGTTTCAAGTTTCAGGTGAAAGACCTCCAATTACTGAGAATGTAGGTAGATTCAGATGATGAGCCCCAAATAAGACGAAGCGTGCATTATTAACTCTAACCAAATAAATAACTTTAAAATGTCTTGTTTATCACGAGTAAACAATATCAAAAGAAATGCTGTTTTCTCCTATTGAACATATGAATTATTTTCATTATCATATGATTAGAAATGGTATGAAGATCATTTCATTGAAGTAAGAGTATCTAATCTATAAAGCGGAAACGTGTCATATGCTGTAGATAGGCTAAAACAAATATTGAATTTATCAACTTACTGACTATTTCTTTAAGTGACACGTGCTGTTTAATATATTCACGTTAAAATAGACCATTTGATGATAAAGAATTATGAACAAGTAAAACTATAAATTACTCTCTCTACCTCTTTTGTTATCGTAAACTTCCGGCATAAATTTAAAATTCAACTTAGTGCAGTAGAGGTGTACACCTCGGTGGTACAGCAGTAGAATCCTAGTCAACCACGCCGATAAAGAGGTTTATAGTTCTATGTCGGGCCACCGACGCACGCCTAAGCCTCGCTTGCTTAGCCCGATAGTAAGCCTGGTGAAGAGACAAGGCTGGGCGTGAGGCTAGCAACCCCACTTCTACAGAAACTACGAAACTCATGCTTGAAGCCCCATGTTCCACTAGGAACGTGAAAAGGAATAATATTATAAAAGCAATACATACAATCTTAAAAGTGTTACACACTTTATAAGGAAGTGATGGAATGAAAAGTGGTAAGCAGCAGTTTCTGAAAATTTACATAGACACTAGAGTAGAAATATGACTTATTGAACTAACCATTGATTCCGTTCAGCTAATGGTCGTCTCATGGTTCGAAACCCGTCCCAACTCCTGGCCGGAGTTAAGTCAAAGACTTCATATGGAATTAGTGTCAGTTTTTCAACTTGATCAGACATCTTTTCCAGCCTAGTTGTATTTCGATTGGACACTAGTAACTAGTGTGATGTGTCTAGTCCTTTCTTTGGTGCAGATTGAATTCTATCTGTCAGGTTTACAATGTAGCCACCATTCTAGGTAGCTCGCCATCATGGTGTACATTGATTTGATGATATTAGATAGTTGGAGACAATTGGTAGGAAGCCTTGGACACACCTAGGTTTCGTGATAGTTGGCACTCGTCAGCAGAAGGTCAATCGCGAACCTGAATAGCTCAGTGGTAAGGTCTCTGACTGCAGCAGTGGGTGACGAGGGTTCGAATCTCAGAAAGGACATGAGTTCCTTTAAGGCAGTTGCAGATACGCCTTGCTGACTGTTGAGTGCCAACTAGCACGAAACCTAGGTGTGTCCAAGGCTTCCTTTTGATTGCCTCCAACCATCTAATATCTAGTTGTATTTCGCCTAACACTGTTCATTGAGGCAGACCACGGCTTAGCAAATGTATAGCACATGTTATAACCAATCTAGAGGATGGAGCTGAACAAACCATATCTCCCCCCACCATACGACATTCGGTTGGATTTCTCAGCTTTTCTAACAGTTTACACTAACTCCACTACTGATGAGCATATTGTTTCAAAAAGAGTGAAGAATCAAGGAGCAATTAACAGCCGATCAGTCACAGCCATCGATCCTAAAGCAATGACTCTATTAATGATTGTGGTTACGACCATCACTCCTCAACTGCTAGTGGGTTACACAAGGACAATCTCTGATTTTCAGTAGATCGTGGAGTAAGTTATTTTGATTTTCAAGTATCGTTTTGTAGCGATTTGATTGGTTTAAATTTACAGTACGAACTGAATTCATTTAGAGAACCATTGAAAACCATCAAGGGGCACTACTGGACAGCTGTCTCCCCTTTTCGGAACTCTTCAGCAGCACACACCCGTGGTGCCATCCACAGGAGATCGAACCTGAGAGCTTCATAAAACGAGACTAGACAGTTGACCATTTAGCCAATGAAAACGGAGTCCAATGACCCATTAATTTATAATCACTAATTAATGCTACCGGCAAGTATTAGCCCTCACACACAACTTGGTGGATACAACTGGTCACGACTTCTCACTAGAACTCCAGGTAACTTTTTTCCTGTAGTCAATCCCTAGTAAGCATTCGATTAATTTTTTAGGGATTTGACTGGTTCTCTTCATTATACATAGACAGAGAAGAGTTTCCCCATTCTGTTAAACGTAATATGACTGAAAATAACTACTAGTTTGATACCGAAACGTTCACAAATGTTAAAAATTAATTTCAATAGGTATCGATATTGAAATAAACCAAATCAATAACAATAATAATAACAGGCAGAATAATACGAACCTGCATGTTGTACATCGGAAGCAATGTGTATGAAATGTCTTCCCCAGCACTGTTACCACTTCACCTTCCACATAACCATGACATGTTTCACATCGTACACCGAATTCTGATTGATAATCATTTGGACAGTAGAATTTCTTGTCTTTAACAAAGAAACCACCTTGTTTCAAGTTTTTTCGACATTCTATTAATTGTTTTATCAAAAGAAAAGAGGAAAATAAAATAATCAGCCGGTTAAATCGTTTTTTTGTCTTTACAGAAACGATAAATATTATAGTATAAGATACTTGTGGCATGTGTTACTGACAAGATTTATCAGTAGTATATATAGACGCAGATTGATAAGAAGTAGCCAAAAACTGAAAGCGGTTTTTAATTACTTAATGGCTACAGAAGTAGAAGTGTTTATTTCTCAAATCTGGATTTAGCGTCTACGTTGTGGTCAGGAAATAATATCATTGGACAACTGTCCATCTTAAGGTTCAAACAACAGAAAATCAACAACCAATCAGAACAATTTATTATCCGTTGACCTAGCTGACTAAATGTATAAATACGGTGTGATTTTCCTCAATACGATAAAAATTCCTTTACCAAATCTGTCCCCCGGGACATACTTACTTATACATTGAAAGCATTTGTAGTGGATAAATTGTTGTTCAATCTTCAATACATCACCTTTACATCGTTTATGGCATACAGTACAATAGACTTTAACTAAAATAAACAATAAAAATAAAACAAAAAGAGTAAAAGGGGTATAAATTTACAATACAAAACAAAAGGCGGAAATTTAAATTGAATATATGAGAATTGCTTCTTTTGCATGTATAACCATCACAATTTGTTACATGGCTGACAGTGGCTAGTGGTGGTATTTACAAGGCAAATTTCGTCCTTTTAGGGACTCATCAACTGGATTTCACTGCAATAGCCAGTGAGTGAGTGATTGGTGGCGTTCCTCTAGAGACACAAATCTAGCATCCACGATTTCAAATGCCACTGGGCTGAAATATCAACAGACATGGGTCACTTTAGTCCAGTACAAGTCAGCCAACAAGGAATTCACAGCAACTTCAAGGAATGTATAAACACACAGTGATACAAGTGCTATCTACTGATGACGATTCGAGTACAGTTTACTGGTCATAATTATATCAATCAATCATATCACACCTTAATCTGATGACCATTATTGTTATATCCCTAAGTTTCAAGTGGAACATGGGGCTTTCACAGCACACCTCCTCTTTAGCTGGCCCAAAAATTGTCTATAAGCTATGGTCTCCTCCATGTCACCCTCGAATGGACAACTCACGGTTTCCTATTCGTGTTCCACTAAAGCGATAGCCTAACACGTGATTTTATTCAACGGTCTCCTTCGGTATATTTGTTGGTTCATCGTACTGCAGAGTTCCTAGTGGTTAATCCCTTCTGGAAGGCTATCTGATCTTCAGTATAGATCTATGGAAGGCAATTGTGGATAAAGATCCGAGGTTGACTGTTGCAAATGTTTTCTCGTGACTCACCCAACAAGTCTCTGAACTCTGTATGCTTAGTGCGATAGACTTCGACACTAATTTCCACGCATTTGATGTGATAATAACCGTTAACTTGAGCGTCGCGAGGTGGTGTTCAGTTGTAGAATATACTCGTCAGTCACACATATAGTCTGGTTCTGATACCCGACGTCGCCGATGGACGAATTCTAAACCTCACCTAAATCATTATTACAGCCAGTGGTAAGTCTGGAAGGATGGAAAGGTCGTGGAGCATGGAGCTAGCTAGAAAACTCAAACCTGTGAACGGAAAGCCACCGGTACTGGGACTTTAGAAAGCTTTAGGTCGCACATGTGACACTCGGAAAGAGATAAATAAATTATCCTCGAGACATCATCATTCTATGACGGAATTATGCTCCACCACAGTGTCCAAATTTCATTCTCATATTTCCTTTTGTTATATAAATTACCATTTCAAAATATGTTACTATAGTAACAGGGTAATAAATATACTAAGGAAATTCAACAGAAATTTTGGAAAAAATAAACAAATCAAAACTTAAATGACCATGATTAATGAACGTATCATGGAAAGGATAGGAAACGGAGAAGGATAGAGTGTAGACGAGGTGGATGTGGTATAGGAGTGAGGAAAAATCTAATAACTAGGCTAAACTTTATTGCACATTCGAAATCAAAAGAAGATTGATAGAGTAATTATAATAATAATAATAATAGCGGTAGTATTATGATAGATATTTAATAAATATGGTTGATATATAAATATATATATATATATTTATCGACCAGTGAAATAGGCAAAATGAAATCTTTAAGTGTTGGTCTTCAGGGATACGATTGGTTACAGGATTTCATCATGAGCTGACATCGGTTACAAGGTGAGCTTGTGGACCATTAAGCCACTGGGACCCGACTCAGTGGCCCATGAATTCCACCTTCTACTAATTTCGGAGGATCGGGTCCGAGTGGCTGAATAGTCTACGAGATCGCCATGTAACCGGAAGGTGTCCTTGGTTTGAAACCCTGTGGTGACTGCCTACTGATGAAGGGCCTCAAACTAGGACGAAACAGCTGTCTGTCTAGTACTCCAATACTAGTTTTCCAATAGTTCTCTAACCGATGTCAGCTTGAAATAGAATCTGTTTTCTTCACTTGATTTCAACTTTCTACAAAGGGAGAAAATATTAAATGATCTACGTCGTTTGTTGCTATGATTCAGTCATCGGTCTGTTTAAAACCTGGGGGGAGTTACCGAAATACACCATCACTGCATTGCATATAATTTCTCTTGTTCCGTTTTGATTTTTGTTATTATTATTATTATCAGAACATGACATCTAATGGTAGCTGTGTTTCCTAGTCTCGTAAGTATTTAAAACACTCCTTTACAACTTCCTGACTCTCAAGATTCTGGTAAACTTCCGAAAGAAGCAAAATCGTGGGTGAGTGTATGCAAACTGCCACTGCCTGAGAAATAAAACCAACTAACTACCTGCGGTCTCCAACTATTCAGCTGTTATTAAGTCCAAGAGTTAGAATATAATGTGTACTCGAGTACACATGATGCATGATCATGCATCTTTTTTTAATTGGCTTTCAACAAAGTGTTGTGCATTTCTCGTAGGGGGTGGGAGGTGAAAAAGAAATACCATAAGGGATTGGTATTCTCTCTTCAGGTCAGATGGCAGTATGTCACACGAATGACTGTCAGCAGTTACTATTTTACATGTAGAATCTGGGCAAAGAGAAACTGTTATGTAATAATTACAGCTGAAAATACTGTATGTTATATAAAATTCGTTCAGAATAAAACTATTATTAGGATTCATATGAGTTTTTACGAGTTGAGCACGGATTGATATCAGTTAGAGAACCATTGAAAACAAGGGAGAACTGGACAGCTGCTGTTTCATCCTAGTTTTGGAATCATCGGCAGCACGCACCCACCACAGTGGGGTTCGAACCCAGGACCTTCCGGTTACAAGGCAAGCTAGCTCGTATACCATTCAGCCATTGGGACCCGATTGAATGGTTCATGAATTCTAACTTCTACCAATTCGTGATATCATTCCGTGATCAACTCGTAAAAACATAACTAACCCTTACAAACCAAACTATAGAAAATTATTGGTAAAAGTATAAAACTTGGGCGCTGTGGTAGAGCATAACTCCATTATGGATAAGATTTTATTTTGATAAATCACACAATGTTATACAGTAATATTAACTGATGACGTTTCGAGGACAAACTATTGCTCATGATCATATCAAGTTACTCACACAACTTTTTTCCTTCATTTATATACATGTGTGGAATCGATTAGATCAATAACACTCGTATCATTGCCACCAGTCAAATCAGCGGAGGATAATAAATAATCTTAATATTCTATTTCAATTCAAACACATCAAAACATTCTAACAAGTAACTTATTATGACTATAGAAACACTCGTATTTTTTCCCATCTAATTGTAATCGATCAATAACACTCGTATTATTATCTCTCAATGTACATTATCTCATATTGAATTTTATTCCAATATCGAATCGATTCCACACATGTATATAAATGAAGGAAAAAAGTTGTGTGAGTAACTTGATGTGATTATGAGCAATAGTTTGTGCTCGAAACGTCATCAGTTAATATTACTGTATAACACTGTGTGATTTATCAAAATAAAATCTTATCCATAATGGAGTTATAGAAAATTAATCTGATGCTCGCTAGTGACTTGCTACAGGATGGAGTTTTCTGGAGTTCTAGTGAGAAGTCGTGACCAGTGAGGTCTAATTAGATGTCACTTGTGTGGATGGATGTCCCACCAACGACAATGGTTGGGATAGCGCTAAATCACGAATTGGTAGAAGTTAGAATTCATGGACAGGCCATTGAATCAGGTCCCAGTGGCTGAATGGTATACGAGCTTGCCTTGTAACCGGAAGGTCCTGGGTTCGAACCCCACTGTGGTGGGTGCGTGCTGCCGATGATTCCAAAACTAGGATGAAGCAGCAGCTGTCCAGCACTCCCTGGTTTTCAATGGTTCTCTAACTGATATCAATCCGTGATCAACTCGTAAAAACATAACTAACCCTTATAAACCAAACTATAGAAAATTAATATGAGTGTGAAAGGAAAGAGAGATTAGAAGTGAATAACGACTTTCGAAAATTCGAGCCGTGGCTGGATTCAAACTGCCGGCCTCTAAATTATAATTATCCCATGTCCACCTAGTTAACTGAACCACTACAAGACCCTTTCCATTCCAATTATCAAGATGTCGGTTGGTGAGGGCAGAAGGAAAGACAGCTGAGAATGATGCTCGTTGTATCCATTAACCCAGAGAATCATGAAACTAAGGTGGTTGGTATATTTATCAGTAATTTTTATTGATTGCTAACCACGTCCCACAATTGGCCCAGCGTTCGATTCCTGGCTACCAACGTACTGCCAAACCTCATCTAGCCGGTGTTAAGCCTGATAAAACAGGGAAGATTGCCCATGAGGCTAGAAACGTCTCACTGTAAAAGACAAAGTCACGGCTACTGGAACACCAAAGCCCAAGCTTCTCACCATTATCTAAACTTATCATCAAAAATATAGAATTTAATTGGTGGAGGGTGACTAGCAGTGGAATCCAGGATGCGCATTTCGTCCTATTTGGGACTCGTCATTTGGTTGTACGTGCATTCCCCAGTGAGTGATGATGTTCCCACCGAGTCACAAATAGGACGAAATTCGTGTTGTCCTAGATTCCACTGCTAGTCACCATCCACCAATTAAATTCTAATTACATGCCCAGACATCGTTGAAGCATCTGCACAAGAAGCCGACATGTCAACTTGAGACCGATCACTTCGGTCCAATCAGTCGACGGGAGAATCTGAAATTCAATTGAAATATTATCATCAAATACTCTTCAGGTAATCGGCCTGAAGGTAATTCCGTAACTATACCATCTTACTGCAGGGGAAGTCTGCAGCTCAGATGTGTTTGGGTGGGAGATTTTTCTATTTCTGAAGAAAACCATGATTAAGAATGAGCATCACTAACATTTTATGGACAGAATCTGACAGAGTGAGCAATGCCCATTTACTGCAGAAGATATTGTATACGAAACTAAGCTTCAAAGGTGGCTCATTTATTTCTTAAAATTTTATTCCTCAACGCCCGTAGTGGAACACAGGGCTTCAA